ACAACTACAGGTGCCCCATCAGCAGGGCAATCTAATGGAGGGCAGAAAAGCAGCTGAAAACCATTTACCCTACAGTGATCAAGGGACTATTGTAATGAAGGTGAAAATTTAATTCTTCAGAGAATTAGTGCCATCTTATTTAATACATATTAGTTAATGGTTAATGGTTTTAGAATGTTTCCATCAAAACAGAATTGACATATGAGAGTATAAGAACCATTATGTAATGCCAAGACTCAGCAAACTTACCTAGCAGTGAAACATCTACCAAAACTTAACTGAAGTTTTCTGTGTGTTTATAGTGAGATGAAAGCAATGTAAGAAGCAAGTATAGTTAAGTCTTTTGTCCCCTGATATCTTTTAGAATAGGAACACAATTTCTTAGAGGCATTTGTCAATGGACACACTAAATGACACACTACAAGTTCAGTCTTCTCTGCTCTGGAGCTGTGTGATGAGAAATTGCTTCACAATAGCTAGGATTTCCTGTTCAAGTTTTAAGTGACACTTTGACAAGAAATCTACTTTTGCCAGTGTTCTTTCACTCTGCACCTTCACAGGAGAGTCTGTGTAAACCACAGATATTGTTTGTCTGTATTCATGAGTTACCAGGTCTCCCACTAGATGATACTCTACTCTTTGGCCAAGAAGGTATGTGTTCCTACTCTCCTGTCTCTCTACCAGCCCACCTCATTGATCACACATGCTGTATATGATACAACAATTGTTATGCAATCATATTATAAAGAACATTGATATCTTTATTGAATAATTCAGGGTGGGAAAATAAGCATAAATATGAAACATATTATTGGTTATCTTAAATATTCAAGTTTTTTTACTGTGGAGAATTACTCAAGTGCATATAAACAAGGAGGATTGGTTTTTAAATCAATACAGTCTTATCTGAAATCCCATCAGCATCCTTACATGGAACAGTTTATTTGGAGTTTGCAATCAGTGCAGATATAACAACATATATCATTTATTGTTTAGACCAGCCTTTCAACATAGATTCTTAAAAATAATTCATTAAATCAGGAAAGTCCAATATAATTGCTTATACACTTTCTTAATCATAATAAAATGAATAAATTGTTCATACAAAAGAGGAAGAAGTAGTCCATAAAATTCTAATTGACTTATAAAAGTATCAAAAGTTTTTTTTTTAATTGAACTGCACATATCCAAAAAGATATGCAACAGTGATAAAGAAACACCTGTCTAGGGAACTATGTTATATGGTGTAACTGATAGGAATTTGAAATAACTATGTCAGTTTGTCAGAACAATAAAATAACTGACTTTGAGAGCTTAGAAAGGGCAGGTTGAATGCTAGGATTTTCACGTGTATATATTATATGTTTTCATTCCAGGTTTAGATTTGTAAGCAAAATTAGTATACTCTACGTAACTTTTGTAGGTTTCAAAGCCAGGATTAATTTCAGATTTCACTCTCTGCAGAGCTCATTGATTCAATTTTTAAATTCATTATCTGATTTATTATAATTAAAATCCTTCTGGAAGATTGAGCCAACAGTATTGCCCCCTTAAAAATTTTTATCATTTTTGGCTTTTCTAGCTTTTCCATTCTCTCGTTTACCAACTTCTATTATAAAAGAAATGTCATTTCAAAATCTTTGCAATATTGTTTAGGACTTCAAGAAGTTAATGTCACATATGCTATGTAGTTAATATTCCTCAAAATTTTAATGATTTCTTAGAAGTCTATACTATTTTGAGAAAAAAATCATAATTTAAGCAATGGTCCCTTTTAATAATAAATGTTTTTCACATTATAAAGGTGATTTAGAGTAGAAAATTAATACATATTTAACACAACTGTAACACACTAGCAAATGTCAATCTAATTATCAATAGATATAAAAATTCTAAAAGTTAGCACATCATTTTCTAATATAGCACCTTTTTTAAAGACAGTTATTCTATAGTTTCAAAATGTTTTGTACAATCATAATTTTAAATAATGTGGATGTTATTATTTGTGAAATTTATGCTGTGGATATTTGGTCTTCTATTCACCTAACCATTAGAATTGTGTGAAAAATAAAATCACTTTTTAAAAATTATTTCATATTATGCAACACATTTTTAAGCTCTAAGGAAATTTTAATTGACTTCTCCATTATTCAACAGCAATATGAGTTTATTACTCTACATGCTCTGCCCACGTGACTACGCTAGGGCTCTGGTCATCATATGTAGCATTTAGTAAGACTTGCCTGCAGCTATTGGAGAGCTCCGTTCCTAACACTACTCAGCAGCAAGGGTGAATGACCAAGTAGAGAACTACCCAGAGGTGAATCTGGACCGAAGAGGACAGCAAATGAAAGGTAAGGGCACATAAAGCCCCACTTCATCAACAGAATAGCAAATAACCTTGTGGAATGGCATCTTCAAATACTTCTTAGGACCTTCAAGGGAATGACAAGTACTACCTGTGCAAAGATAAAACATTTAATACATAGTTGTGTAACTGCTCTGGGATGTATGATTGCGGTTCTGGTGTGAGGAAAGACTAAGGGATAAGCTCACATAGTCTGCTGTGTGAGAGTTGGAGCTTGAAATATGACTATGTCATTCTAATCTGAAATGTGAGGACTAATTTTGTTCCTGCAATGTTGGAGCTGGAGTCTTTGACTACATCTCATAGAGCATTATGTTTACTGAAATGCAGGATATTCTGGCTGCAAGATTACAATGGGAGATGTGGATTTGGGATCCAACCTTCCATATTTGGCTCCTGTGCAGGCGGGTTTCATGTCTGTAAACTGTCAACATTTGTCTCCTTTTTTTCCCTCAGTGTTTCTATGTCTCTCCCTGCAGCCTCACCATTACCTCCAGGGCAGATTGCTGCTGAGGTCCTGGGGATCTTCTGCCTGGTGTTGGTGGCCACCATAATAAAAACCGTAGTCCTGATTCCTGGTAAGACAATTTTTGAAAGATTATAAGCGACGAGGTTTACACTTGATGGTTATTACCAGTGCTATGAAAAAGTTCAAGTATTTAAGGAGAACATTCACTTTTAATGTATGGTTTTATATAAGTGTTGAATGGTGGTTTTGTCAAAGTGTAAATATGCAGAATGATTAAGGAGAGTATTTTATAGATTTAGATATCATGATAAAATGGCATGCTTTAGGAGACTAAAAGATATTATTGTAAACAATGAAATAATTTTGAGAGTTGGTAAACAAGCACTGTAGGAGATGGTGAAATTTGACTCTAAATTTTTGAGATATTTTCCTCAAAGCTTATTCTTTTATTAATTTTCAGGAAAGACAACTTTATTATAGATTATTACTATAATTCTACTGATATACATTTTTAACTTTGAAATTTTAAATTGATTATCAATTACTTAGATCACTTAATTTTTATAAGGTTTATTTTATTTTTCTAGCTACTACTAAAGAGCCAGAGCAGAATGATTTCTCCTCAGAGCAGAATGATTACTCAAACCTAACAAAGATTCAGAAAGGTACGCATGGTTTCCAAAATTCTGATATTAGTACAGTTTATGTTTCGTATATGTGTTAGAGTAGGTAATAATGGTAAAATATTTTCTGTTAGAACAAACATTATATAATCAAATAATACATGTTCATGAACAATGGTAATAGGAGGGGTTCATCACATCCAACAACAGGAAAAAATTTCTTTTAAAAACTCCAACCATGTGGCCAATTGGGTCATGTTCTGCTGCTATTATATGTATAAACAACTATTAAAATGATTTTATTTACTCTTTATGAGGACATAAGAATGAGTATTATTTGTGAGTTTGGTTCCTATGGGCGCCTAAATTATAACATGAGAAGTTGCACTTTTTCTGTGAGTGTGTGTTGTATGAACCTGCTGTGAGGTGTGTGCCTGTGTTATGCACATGATTGTTCATCTTGGCATGTATATGATATGTTTTGTTTTATTAAACCAAATAATTTAGGTAAAATTCATAATCTCTCTTCAGCATATCCTTGTGGCCGTTGTCCAAAGGGGTGGTTTTCATACTCCAACAACTGCTATTACTTTAGTGCTGAAAAAAACACCTGGAATGAGAGTGTGACGGCCTGTCAGTGTATGGACTCTCAGCTGCTCTACGTAGAATCTGAGGAAGAAATGGTAAGAATTTCAGTGTCTGAACCATTTTATTGAAGTCTTATTTAGTTCAATTTTATAGCTATAGATTTCATACAAATTTTTGTACAAATTTGTGTTTTATTTTAAAGTTTGTATAACATTCCATTGTCTGACTTAGGATTTTACTGAAATCTTTGACACATTAATGCACAGTTAAAAAACCCAGTTCTTGGCTTTCATAGAGAACCATATTTCCAATATATATGTATGTTAAATATATATGTATGTATATATATTAAATAAAGATTGCTGTTTAATACACTTCAGGAAAGGTGAGCATATTGTGATCAGCAGATTAATCACCAAGTAAATGAAAATTGTGTCTGCAAAGCAGATCCTGAGTAGAAGTCCCAGCCCCCAGCGTTCCCCAGATACCCTGTCTGCTCTCTCTTCTCTCCTGCTGTCTGGTTATTTAGCCACTGACTTGAAATTTAATTTCATAGATACCTTTCTCCTTTATGAACTGAAATGCAATCATAAGGTATATACTTTTGTTCCTGTCAAATCACTCCCTATATTTCCTCGGTAATTCATCTACATTATTTCATTTATCTGCTGTTTCTAATTTTCACTGCGGAATTTTATGATATAACATTTCAAAATTGATTCTGTTTAATGTGTCAGGTGCAATATGTGAGTGTCATCTTCTTAGAGATAAATTTACTGGGTACAGTATTTTTTTTCTTTTTTTTAAAAGATCCATTTACTTATGCATACAAGAACTGGGGTACAGGCCAGAGGTGCGAGGGCTGAGAGATTCATCAGAGACAGAGTGGGGAGCAGAACAGGCAGAGTGACTGAAATATACTGCTGAGGGGAGCAGTGGGTGAGTCATGAGAGGACTGCTGTACCGTGTGTAGCTACCTTCTAGGTCAGGGATCCAACTCCTGCCACAGATGCTGTGGACAGCCCCACAGTGGTGTGCTTAATTCCTTGTGCTACCAGGTAGTCCCTGGTTCAGTATTTTCAGTCATAGAGTCCCCTTAGTTGTCCTATCTCCACTCTCCTAGCCCTATTCATGTGTCCATTGGTGGTGGGTGGTGAACCGTGTCCCGGGTGGTGACTATTGTCACTACCTGAGGCATCACCCTTTTAGGCTGCCTTGCTGTTGCTGCACAGGACACCTCACCTCAGGGATGAATGGCTTCCCCAGCCTCCTCCTGTTGTAGGTTGGTGCTGACAGGCCGCAGGCCTAGGCCAGAATTTTCCTTGTTCACATGACAAGAAGAGTGAAGTTCCTAAGTGTAAATGTTTAGGATCTCGTGTCATGTAATGATGATGTGCTGGTGAGAATTTGTGGCATCATGCACGATAGTTTTCAGCACACTGTGTGTATGTGGTGTGAGATTGGAATCTGTCTATTCATTCTGAAAATGTAGAATCTTATGAAAGAACACGTTACTTGTGTTTTTTTTTTTTAAATGAAACCTTTCATCATTTTTATGTAATTGAAAATTCTTTATGTTTGAATAGAGATTTATGAAATCCATATCAGTTTTGTCATGGATTGGAGTCTACCGTAACGACAGTGGTCAGCCGTGGACACTGGTAAATGGGTCAGCTATCCAACTAGAGTAAGTTGTATTTAAATTATCTTAAAAGTATCATTAAAAATGCTATTGTTTCTCAGTTTGCTGCACCATTTTAGAACTTAAGAGAAGCAAGGTATGAAAAAGAATATAGGAAAATAATATTAATGCATTTGATTTAAATTATAGACATGAGAATGGTATTGAATGCTAGTCGAATCTTGATAAATATTGAAGAAAGGACAGCTCAGTTCGTCTAACTCCAAACCTTACATGTATTCTTGAAAATTGTCTTCATCCATTTTGAAAACATGCTTGTATTGCAATTAAAGAAATGCTAATGTTTTTTTTGGTTTGCCCCAACATTACATAACAACAGAATATGCCTTTTTCTTTATTACAGGATAAGAAAACCAGTACCTGCTGACTCTCACTGTGTTATGCTAGACTCTTATGGTAAATATTATGCAGAGAAATGTGAAGATAAAAATATGTATTATTGCAAGAATAAGATTTAAATTTAAAAAAACTAACTTTGGATTTATTTATGTGTGGCGGCTCCTGAGAGCAATGTTACAATTGCCACAATCTCGCATCAATAATGGGTGGCTGTGCTGTCTTGGCACAATGCTCTCTGCCCCTGTGAGCTGGACTGGACAGTCAATGACGGGTAAGATCAGGAAGTGAGTCCTGACAACCTAAGACAGACGCAGTCCCCGAGGGGATTTTGGTTCCCACCTGTTCATCCGTGGAAAATAACAGGAACAATCAGGCCTGTGAGTAGTTGAGGCACCACCAAAATATGTTGCCAGTAACTAGGCTCATAGTAAAGGAATGCAACCATGGAAACAGATTATATTACTTGTAGTAAACAATATAAGCAAACACAATCATGAGAATAAATGATAAATATAGGATAAAAATACATTAATGATAGAAAATATATAATCATAACAATGAATCAGAAGATCTAGAACAAACCTCCAGCAAGGAGGATAAAATATGAAATGTTCTTGATTTGTATTTGATTTTGTGATAATTAATAAGCAAGATGTAATGATATGTGTTACGGCAATCACGTATACTTTGATAATGATTAACCACATTTTGTGCAAAACACAATGAAGCAATTAGAGAAGAAATGTATAAAAAGAAAAGACTGCTTTCAATAAATTGCACTCAGATTTTCACTCTCCCTTGAGTGTGTCTGTGTGTCATTCTTTCTTGTCCCTCGCCCTAAGTCCTTCGACCACCTTTAGCTCATTCTCAATCAACCCTGAGATTGTCTCAATCTCCCGCCACCGCTGGGCTGGTCCGCGGCATTTATGTAAATTCCAATTTCAAGAAATAAATCTTATTATTGATTTTGTTTTTTGTTCTAATGACTTTTTTTCAAAATAATTATTGAAATACTATGTTCAGCAAATACTACAAATACTACACTATGTTCAGCAAAATGTACAGATAGCATTACTTTTGTGCCTGACATTTTTTGTGGTGTTCAACCTTCAAAAAGATCATTTGTTGTGTGAGTCCAGTTGCCATAAGTAATGGCAAACTCATAGGTCCAGCAAGTGGATTGGGGTTCCCAGGGACGGAGGGGAGATGGAATGAGGAACTGGCCACTGATTAGTTCTCTGTTTCTTTTTGAAGCGGAAATTTTTCAGTGCTAAGAGTAGTGAAGTTTGCAAACTATGAATATGCTAAATGTCTTTGATTTAATCACTTTAAATGGCTGAATTTTGTTTTATATATTATATCTCAATAAAGTTGTTTTTAAAAAAAATTGTGATGACATTTGAGAGTATTTAATCTTTCAAATAATTTGGAGTTTAGTCATCTTTACCATATTTATTTATTTTTTTCTTTTTTTTTATAGAGGCATGTTTCTTTATTTATTTGTTTGTCTGTTTTGTTTACACATGCACTGGGTACAGTCAGAAGCACGGGAGGGTGAGAGAATTCACCAGAGGCAGAGCGGGGAGCAGAGCAGGCAGAAGGACTGAAGTACACTGCTGAGGGGAGCAGTGGGCGGCAGGAGAGGTCTGCACGCCATGTGGAACCCTCCTCCTGTGGCTGGGGAGCAGCTGGGGATCGAACCGGCGCCGTAGAGGCCAAGGGCAGGTTCGGAACCCAGCGCTCAACCGCTGCGCCACCGGGGAGGCCCATTACCATATTTATTTTTTCAATCTACATCAACCTTAATCTTTTCCTTAAATTGGATTTTTTTTTTCTCCTTTTGCTTTGTATTTTTACAGAAGACATAGGGAAATGATGTTTCCTCAGTAATGACACTTTATTTAAAAATGACTGAAATATCTGTTAACTATTTTTGGTGATGTAAAAAGCAAAAAAAATAAAGTTGCCTCATTGATTTATATGCAATCTTTTTGATGACTTTACATATTAATTCTATTAATCTAAAATGAATCTAGTATATGATTATATGAATTATGAATTTTGATGTAAATATTTATTGTAAATAATCACACTTTGTTTCTTTCCAAATACAATTACTTTTTTTTTAAAGATTAATTTATTTATGCATACAAGAACTTGGGTTCAAGCCAGAGGTGCAGGGGGTGAGAGGAATCACCAAAGACAGAGCGGGGAGCACAACAGGCAGACTGACTGAAATACACTGCTGAAGGGAGCAGCAGGCAAGACAGGAAATGTCTGCTCGGCCATGTGCGTAACTCTCTGGCTGGCTGGAGATGGAACTGGTTCTGCAGAGGCTGAGGATAGGTTCATAATGCTGTGCTTAACTCCTTTTGCCACCAAGGAGGCCCACAATTACTTTTTTTAACTGGTTTATTGCAGACCAGAGTTTTATATCCAATATTGAATAATAGTTACTGTGATTGGTCTCCCTGTATTCCCATTTTAGTGACAAAGATTTCAGAATCCATTCTTAGACATGAAGTTTATAGAAACTTTTTCATCATCATTCTCCAATTAATGTCATGTCATCACGTTCTCATTTTTGTAATGGTTTTATAAGTTTGATGTTATGTTTTTACTCGTTTTGCATTAAATGGAATGAGAAAAGGTTTCATTGTTAAATATTTATGAAGTAAATTATCTTTATGTCTTTCAAATATAAGAGCATCTTGCATTTTTGAAATAAAACTATAGCAATCATTCTGTGAGTTTGTTATCCATGTGTATATTTGTAGTGGCAGGATGAGCACAGGGTAGGGTCTGTATGATTCATGCAGACACAGGTGGGTAAAGGAGGAGTCCTGGAGTCCTCAGTGGTTTTCTCAGGTTTTTACTGAGCTTTAACATGAAGTGTAACAGCCAGGTACACGGCAGGGGGTACTGGGAGGCCAGGAGGACACCAGGCCCAGCAAGTCTTCACTCTAGGCTTTCTCTGTCGTTCTTGCTCCCCTTCTCTCTCCTGCCTCTTTACCTTGCTTCTCTCCTCCTTCTGCTTCTCTTGGAGAATATTCCAATACTACTACAACAGCCCATAGAAGTAAACATCACAACTTATAACAATATCATAAATGCAGGTTCCCCATCAGGCATGCAATCCTAATGGTGGGAGGGCAGAAAAGCCTGAAAACCATTTACTCTACAGTATTTTATTTAGATCAGCACATTTTTCTTTCTTATTCACAAAAAGATTAGACTGTGTTTTAATTCATAGTTACATATTTACACATCTTGTATCAAGGCTATTGTAAATAAGATTCCTTTTTTTTAAGATTGATTTATTTATTTATACAAGCACTGGATACAATCAGACGCATGGTAGGGTGAGAGCATTCACCAGAGTCAGGGTGGGGAACAGAACAGGCAGACTGACGAAATACACTGCTTAGGGGAGCAGCGGGCGCAGCAGGAGAGGTCTGCACGCCAAGTGGCTGCCGGACACAGGTGATGCAGAGGCTGTGGGCAGCTCGAAAACCTAGTGCTCAACTGCTGTGCCACCGGGGAGGCCCGATTCCTGTTTTTCTACTAGCTGGAAGCCTTTGTGTAAGAGCACTGTGGTTTTGAATTGTTTTTTCACTGCTGATATCATCTGAGCATGTAAACCCAGTTTAAGGGAGTTTTATGTAAAAACTCAGTAGCTCTAACACATGTGAAGTTTTTTCAGGTAGAACTATTTGCTGTGCAACTTTTTGGTAATTATATTTTCTACAAATTTTCTATTGCACATAGACATAAAATGTATTCATAAACAGTCTTCTTGTCCAGTGTACCTACTAAAAACCATAGTGGGGGGCCTCCCTGGTGTCACAGGTGTTAGTCTCAGTACTCTCAATCTATTGTCAGCCACTATGCCATGAGTGCAATCTGCGGCCAGGGAGCTAATCACTTGGCACAGCAGACCTATCCTGTCTAGCCTACTTCTCTCAGCAGCTTATTTCAGTAGATCTGCCTGTTCTGCTCCTCACTCTGTCTCTGGTGAATCCTCTCACCTCCTGTACCTCTAACCAACAGCCCATCATTTTTTTTTTTTTAAGATTTACTAAGTTTTGCATACAAGAACTGGGGTACAGGCCAGAAGCATGGGGGGTGAGAGGATTCACCAGAGACAGAGTGGGGCAGAGAACAGGCAGACTGACAAAGTACATGGCTGAGGGGAGCAACGGGCAAGATAGGAGAGGTCTGCTGCACCATGTGGGTTGCTCCCTAGCCAGCCAGGGAATAGAACTTATGCTGCAGTGGCTGTGGACAGCCTCAGAGGTTGTGTCTTATCTCCTTGCACCACCAGGGGGGCCGGACAGCCCTTTATTTGTATGTATAAATAAATAAAATAAATCTTTTAAGATAAAAACCATAATGGTTTTCTCATGTATAATCTATGCACTAGTGTCTTAGATTCTCAATTGTTTTCTTCAATAGTGTAATTGCTATTATTAAGGGTTTTTTTTGTGGGAGCCTTGCCGGCGGCCCAGGAACAAACTGGTGCTGGAGAGTCTGCGCTCAACCGCTGTGCCAGCAGGGGAGGCCCCTATTATTAAGTTTTTACAATGAATGCATTTGCTTTGTTCATGCTCTTTAACAGTTTTTTCTTTGTTATTTGTGCTATTTTTTTCTATTGTTTTAGACAAATTTTACTTATTTTTGGCTTTGCCATTTTCTGTTTCTTTGATGAGTGCTCAGATTTCTGCACTTTCATTTTTGAGCAATATATGCATTTAAGGCTATTTGAATGCAAAATTTGGAATATTACTTTCATATTTTCCTTCTATCAGTATGATGTCAACATACATTTTGATGATCTCTGACTTATAAAATAAATAGATTTATCACTGTATTCAAAATCATATAGGGGTTTCATTTTTATGTTTACTCACTTGTATTTTAGGTGAACTTGGTTAAAGAATTTTCTTTGAAACTAGAATGTTTTACCATTCTTTTAATAATGGCTAGTGTGACTTTGTGCTCTAAAAGCCTACATTTTTTTCTATCCTCCAATTTTTTGACTAAGTGATATTTTAAAAAATCAATTTTTTTTCCCTCAACAGTTAGGGTGGGCTATTGTCACATTTACAACAAATATTCCTATGAAAGTGCAGACATTTTGTAAATAATCACTCTTGTTTATTTTATGATTAGAGGATGAATCACTGATAGCATAATGAGAAATTAATGTTTCAGTCATGGAATGGTGATATAATTCAATCATATTGAAAGCTTTATCATGTCTAGAGACACTTTATCAGGGGAAATTTAAACAAACAACTGCTTACCAATTAAAAAACTGCAGAGAAATAGAAAAGAGAAGCTTGGGAACTGGTGATCAAGGGTTCATTATTGTAATAAAGTTGAAAATGTAATTCTTCAGAAAATTAGTGATATCTTATTTAATACATATTCTTAATGATTAATGGTTTCAGAATGTTTCCATCAAAATAGAATTGACATATGAGAGTATAAGTAAACAATATGTAATGCCAAGACTCAGCAAACTTATCTAGCAGTGAAACATCTACCAGGCACTTAACTAAAGTTTTCTGTGTGTTTGTGGTTGAGATGGAAGCAATTTAAGATGCAATTGTAGTTAAGTCTTTTGTCCCCTGATATCATTTAGAGTAGGAACACAATTTCTTAGAGGCATTTGTCAATGGACAAACTAAGTGACACACTACAAGTTCAGTCTCCTCTGCTCTGGAGGTGTGTGATGAGAAACTGCCCTCACAATAGCTACGATTTCCTGTTCAAGTTTTCAGTGACACTTTGAAAAGAAATCTACTTTTTTTCCAATGTTGTTTCACTCTGCACCTTCACAGGAGAGTCTGTGTAAACCACAGATATTGTTTGTTTTTTTCCGTGAGTTACCAGGTCTCCCACTAGAGGATACTCCACTCTTTGGCCAAGAGAAGGTATGTGTTCCTACTCTCCTGTCTCTCTACCAGCCCACCTCATTGGTCACACATGCTGTATGTGATACAATTGTTAAGCAATCATATTATAGAGAACATTGATGTCTTTATTGAATAACTCAGGGTGGGAAAATAAGCATAAATATGAAACATATTATAGGTTATATTAAATATTCAAGTTTTTTACTGTGGAGAATTACTCAAGTGCATATATACAAGGATGACTGGGTTTTTAAATCAATACAGTCTTATTGATATCCCATCAGCATCCTGACATGGAACAGTTTATTTTGGAGTTTGCAATCAGTACAAATATAATAACATGTATCATTTATTGTTTAGACCAGCCTTTCAACATAGATTCTTAAAAATAATTCATTAAATCAGGAAAGTCCAATATAATTACTTATACACTTTCTTAATCATAATAAAATGAATAAATTGTTCATACAAAAGAGGAAGAAGCAGTCCATAAAATTCTAATTGACTTATAAAGTATCAATTTTTTTTTCCATTGAGCTGTACATAGCCAAAAAGATATGCAACAGTGATAAAGAAACTTCTGTCTCGGATACTATGTTATATGGTCTAACTGATAGGAATTTGAAATAACTATGTCAGTTTGTCAAAACTATAATTAAAATAACTGACTCTGAGAGCTTAGAAAGGGCAGGTTGAATGCTAAGAGTTTTACATGTATATATTATATGTTTTCATTCCAGGTTTAGATTTGTAAGCAAAATTAGTACAATCTACGTAACTTTTGTAGGTTTCAAAGCCAGGATTAATTTCAGATTGCACTCTCTGCATAGCTCACTGATTCAATTTTTAAATTCATTAACTGATTTATTATAATTAAAATCCTTCTGGAAGTTTGAGCCAACATTATTGCCCCTTAAATTTTTTTTTTATCATTTTTTGCTCTTTTAGCTTTTCCGTTCTCTCATTTACCAACCTCTTTTATAAAATAAATGTCATTTCAAAATCTTTGCTTTGTCAATATTGCTTAGGACTTCATGAAGTTAATGTCACATAAGCTATATAGTAAATATTCCTCAAAATTTTAATGATTTCTTAGAAGTCTATACTATTTTGAGAAAAATATCATATTTTAAGCTATGGTCCCTTTTAATGATAAATGTTATTCACATTATAAAGGTAATTTAGAGTAGAAAATTAATACATATTTAACACAACTGTAGCACACTAGAGAATGTCAGTCTAATTATTATTACATATAAAAATTCTAAAAGAACATCATTTTCTAAACCTTTTTTTAAGACAGTTATTCTATAGTTTCAAAATGTTTTGTATGATGATAATTTTAAATAGTGTGGATGTTATTATTTGTGAAATTTTGCCACTGATATTTGGTCTTCTTTTCCCCTAACCATTAGAATTGTGTGAAAAATAAAATCTCTTTCTAAAAATTATTTTCATATTATGCAACTCATTTTTTAAGCTCTAAGGAAATTTTAATCTGACTTGTCCATTATTCAACAGCAATATGTTTTTATTACTCTACATGCTCCACCCACCTGACTAGACTAGGGATCTGGTCATCATATGCAGCATTTAATTAGACTTGCCTGCAACTATCAGAGAGCTCCGTCCCTGACACTACTCAGCTGCAAGGACGAATGACCAAGGAGAGCTACCCAGAGGTCAATCTGGACCCAAGAGGACAGCAATGAAAGGTAAGGGCACATAAAGCTCCACTTGCTCAACGGAATAGAAATAACCTTTGTGGAATGACATCTTCAAATACTTCTTAGGACCTTTAAGGGAATGACAAGTACTACGTGTGCAAGATAAAACATTTAATAGACAGGTGTGTAACCACTCTGGATGTATGATTGTTGTGCCGCTGTGTGGAAGTTGTAAGGGATAAGCTCACATAGTTTTCCCCTGTGAGAGTTTGAGGTTGAAATATGACTATGTCATTCTAATGTGTAATGTGAGTACTGATTTTGTTCCTGCAACGTTGGAGCTGGAGTCTTTGACAGCATCTCATAGAGCATTATGTTTACTGAAACACAGGATATTCTGGCTGCAAGAATACAATGGGAGATGTGGATTTGGGATCCAACCTTCCATACTTGACTCCTTGTGAAGGCAGATTTCATGTCTGTAAACTGTCATCATTTTTGTCTCCTTTTTTTCTCAGTGTTTCTATGTCTCTCCCTGCAGACTCGCCATTACCCCCAGGGCAGATTACTGCTGAGGTCCTGGGGATTGTCTGCCTGGTCTTGGTGTCCACTGTAGTAAAAACCATATTCCTTATTCCTGGTAAGACAATTTTTGAAAGATTAAAAGCGACAAGGTTTACACTTGATGGTTATTACCAGTGCTGTAAAAAGTTCAAATATTAAGGAGAACATTCACTTTTAATGTATAGTTTTATATAAGTGTTGAATGGTGGTTGTGTCAAAGTGTAAATATGCAGAATGATTAAGGAGAGTATTTTATAGATTTAGATATCATGATAAAATGGCATGCTTTAGGAGACTGAAAGATCTTATTGAAAACAATGAAATAATTTTGAGAGTCGGTAAACACGTACTGTAGGATATGGTGAAATTTGACTCTAAATTTTTGAGATATTTTCCTCAAAGCTTATTCTTTTATTAATTTTCAGGGAAAGACAACTTTAATATGGATTATTACTATAATTCTACTGATATACAACATTTCTAACTTTGCAATATTAAATTGATTATTAATTACTTAGATCACTGAATTTTTATAAGGATTATTTTATTTTTCTAGCTACTACTAAAGAGCCAGAGAAGAATGATTTCTCCTCAGAGCAGAATGATTGCTCAAACATAACAAAGATCCAGAAAGGTACGCATGATTTCCAAAATGCTGATATTAGTACAGTTTATGTTATGTATATATGTTAGACTAGGTAATAATGGTAAAATATTTTCTGTTAGAACAAACATTATATTATCAAATAATACATGTTCATGAATAATGGTAATAGGAGGGGTTCATCATATCCAACAACAGTAAAAAAATTCACTTACAAACTCCAACCATGTGGCCAATTGGCTCTTGTCATGCTGCTATTATATGTATAAGCAACTATTAGAAAACGATTTTATTTACTTTTTATCAGGACATAACAATGATTATTATTTGTGAGTTTGGTTCCTATGGGCACCTAAATTATAGCATGAGAAGCTGCCCTTTCTCTGTGAGTGTGTGTTGTATGCACCCACTGTAAGGTGTGTGCCTGTGCTATGCACATGATTGTTCATCTTGGCATGTATATATGTCTTATTTTATTAAACCAAATAATTTAGGTAATAATTCATAATCTGTCTTCAGCATATCCTTGTGGCCCTTGTCCAAAAGGGTGGTTTTTGTACTCCAACAACTGCTATTACTTTAGTGCTGAAAAAAACACCTGGAATGAGAGTGTGACGGCTTGTCAGTGTATGGACTCTCAGCTGCTCTACGTAGAATCTGAGGAAGAAATGGTAAGAATTTCAGTGTCCCAACCACTTTATTGAAGACTTATTCAGGTCAATTTTGTAGTTATAGAATTCATGCAAACTTATGTACACATTTGTATTTTATTTTAAAGTTTGTATAACATTCCATTGTCTGAGTTTGAGGATTTTACTCAAATCTTTGACCCGTTAATGCACACTTAAAAAAAAAAAAAAAGCAGTTCTTGGCTTTCCTAGAGAATCGTATTTTCAATATATATGTACATTAAATATATATGTGTGTATATATATTAAATAAAGATGTTGTTTAATACACATCAAGTAAGGTGAACATACTGTGATCTGACAGATTAATCACCAAGTGAATGATAATTGTATCTGTAAAACAGATCCTAAGTAGGAGTCCCAGACCCCAGTGCACCCCAGATACCCTGTCTGCTCTCTTCTCTCCTGCTGTCTGGTTATTTAGCCACTGACTTGAAATTTGATTTCATAGCTACCTTTCTCCTTTGTGAACTGAAATGCAATCATAAGGTATATGCTTTTGTTCCGTCAAATCACTCCCCTATATTTCCTCAGTAATTCATCTATAATAATTCATTTTTCTGCTGTTTGCTAATTTTCACTGCAGAATTTTATGATATAACATTTCAAAATCCATTCTGTTTAATGTGTCAGGTGAAATATGTGAGTGTCATCTTAGAGATAAACTTCCTGTGTTCAGTATTTTTTTCTCCTTTCTTTTAAAGATTTATTTATGTATACAAGAACTGGGGTACAGGCCAGAGGTGTGAGGGGTGAGAGGATTCATCAGAGACAGAGTGGGGAGCAGAACAGGCAGGCTGACTAAAATACACTCCTGAGGGGAGCAGTGGGCAAGGCAAGAGAGGTCTGCTGCACCATGTGGGCAGCTACCTGGCAGATCAGGGATCAAACTCCTGACATAGAGCTATGGACAGCCCCACAGTGCTGTACTTAATTCCTTGAGGCGCCAGGTAGTCCCTGGTTCAGTATTTTCAGTAATAGGGTCCCCGTAGTTGTCCTATCTCCACCCTCCCAACCCTACTCATGTGTCCCTCGGTTGTGGGAAGTGAAGAAGCCTGTCCTGGCTGCTGACTGTTGTCACTACCTGAGGCATTGCCCTTGTAGGCTGCCCTCCCATTGCTGCACAGAACCCCTCACCTCAGGGAGAAATGGCTTCCCCAGCCTCCTCCTGTTGTAAGTTGGTGCTGACAAGCCGCAGGCCTAGGTCAGATTTTCCTGTTCACATGACAAGAGTAAAGTTCTTAGTATAAATGTTTAGGAGCTCATGTTATGTAATGATGTGTGCTGGTGAGAATTTGTGGCACTATGCACAATAGTTTTCAACATACTGTGTGTATGTGCTGTGAGATTGGAATCTGTCTATTCATTCTGAAAATGTAGAACCTTATGAATGAACATGTTACTTGTGTGTGTGTTTTTTTTTAATAAAACCTTTCATCGTTCCTATGTAATTGAAAATTCTTTATGTTTGAACAGAAATTTATGAAATCCATATCAGTTTTATCATGGATTGGAGTCTACCGTAACGACAGCAGTCAGCCATGGACACTGGTAAATGGATCAGCTATCCAACTAGAGTAAGTTTTATTTAAATAATGTTAAAAGTAGCATTAAAACGTTATTGTTTCTTAGTTTGCTGCACCATTTAGAACTTAAGAGAAGCAAGGTATGAAAAAGAATATAGGAAAAATGATATTAATGCATTTGATTTAAATTATAGACATGAGAATGGTATTGAATGCTAGTCAAATCTTGATAAATATTGAAGAAAGGACAGCTCAGTTTGTCTAACTCCCAACCTTACATATATTCTTGAAAATTGTCTTCATCCATTTTGAAAATATGGCTTGTATTGCAATTGAAAGAAATGCTATTGTTTCTTGGTTTGCCCCAACATTACATAACAACAGAATATGCCTTTTTCTTTATTACAGGATAAGAAAACCAGTACCTCCTGACCATCACTGTCTTATGCTAGAATCTAAATATTATGCAGAGAAATGTGAAGATAAAAATATGTATTATTGCAAGAATAAGATTTAAATTAAAAAAACTAACTTTGGATTTATTTATGTAAATTTCTATTTCGAGAAATAAATCTTATTATTGATTTTGTTTTTTGTTCTAATGACTTTTTTTTTCAAAATAATTATTGAAATACACTATGTTCAGCAAAATGTACAGATAGCATTACTTTTGTGTCTGACATGTTTTGTGGTGTTCAACCTTCAAAAAGATCATTTGTTGTGTGAGTCCAGTTGCCATAAGTAATGGCAAACTCATAGGTCCAGCAAGTGGATTGGGTATCCCAGGTGGGATGAGGAACTGGCCACTGATTAGTTCTCTGTTTCTTTTTGAAGCAGAAATTTTTCAGTGCTAAGAGTAGTGAAGTTTGCAAACTATGAATATGCTAAATTGCCGGGGACCAGCCTTGGCAAAATGTCTTGTCAGGGGTTCCTGAAAGGATGAGGCATTGGTGAAAACAAAAGGGCTGAGGGGAAGGGGATGAGGTAGAATGAGGAGACACTGACACTTGGTGAGGTGCTAGTATCTTCTGCCGAGAGACTCAGCAGGTCTTTATTTATTCATTATTAGTAATCAAAAAAATACATTATCATGTGTAAAGCAGAAACAATTAGTGTATTATGTTCCCATAGACTACTGTCTCTTACAGGTCCCAGCTAGACGGTAGCCTTTAAGGTTAATAGATAAAAAACCAGACCTAACACTAAAACTTATTATTTCAGCTAGACAGTTACCTAAGACAGTGGATAGCTGCCAGTGCATCCCTATCAGCTAAAGCCTAAGCATCAAAAGACTATTCTATTCACATGGCCTTCAGCCAGAGACCAGCTGCTGCTCAGCTATCAGAACTTTTTCTACCTAGAAACTCCTTAACTCAAATAGCTTCATTTAAAAACCTTCCCAAGAAACTTCAAGGGAAGGCAAAAGAAGGACCTACTATAATTATTGTATTGTAATGCTTGTCAGGCATGTTCAATAAATTGTCTCCCATTGTCAAGTGGGCCAAATTGTTTAATAATTAATTTCTAACAGATAATTTTCCGTGCCGTTTATTTGCAGTATACTGATGCATATAATATAGTGCCTAATGTACCTTTTTTGGGAAATTTTTCTCTTTTTATGACCAAAAACAAAAAGTGAAGGAATGTTAGATCTTCAGCCCCATGGTGTGAGGCACAAGGAATCTTCTGTCCCACGGTGTGAAGCTCTTTAGCTTCGCTGCTTACCAGTGTCTTATCTAGCTGGGGCAACAAGGCCGCCTGCAGCACTAAATGTCTTTGATTTATTCACTTTAAATGGCTGAACTTTGTTTCATATATTATATCTCAATAAAGTTGTTTTTAAAAAATTCTGTGATGACATTTGAGAGTATTTAATCTTTAAAATAATTTGGAGTTTAGTCCTCTTTGCCATATTTATTTTTTAATCTACATCAACCTTAATCTTTCCTTAAATTGGATTTTTTTTTCTCCTTTTGCTTTGTATTTTTACAGAAGACATAGGGAAATGATGTTATGCCTCAGTAATGACACTTTATTTAAAAATGCCTGAAATATCTGTTAACGATTTTTGGTGATGTAAAAAGCAACAAAATTAAAGTTGGCTCATTGATTTATATGCAATATTTTTGCTGACTTTACATATTAATTCTATAAATCTAAAATGAATCTAGTATTTGAATATACAAATTATGAATGTTGATGTAAATATTTATTGTAAATAATCACACTTTGTTTCTTTCCAAGTACAGTTACTTTTTTTTTTTTTAAGATTAGTTTATTTATGCATACAAGAACTTGGGTTCAGGCCAGTGGTGCAGTGGGTGAGAGGAATCACCAAAGACAAAGCAGGGAGCACAGCAGGGAGACTGACTGAAATACACTGCTGAGGGGAGCAGCAGGCAAGACAGGAGATGTCTGCTCGGCCATGTGGGTAACTCCATGGCTGGCTGGAGATGGAACTGGTTCTGCAGAGGCTGAGAACAGGTTCATAATACTGTGCTTAACTCCTTTTGCCACCAAGGAAGCCCACAATTACTTTTTTTAACTGGTTTATTGCAGACCAGAGTTTTATATCCAATATTGAATAGTAGTTACTGTGATTGATCTCCCTGTATTCCCATTTTAGTGACAAAGATTTCAGTATCCATTCTTAGACATGAAGTTTATTGTAACTTTTTCATCATCACTCTCCAATTAATGTCATGCCATCACATTCTCATTTTTGTAATGATTTTATAAGTTTGATGTCATGTTTTTATTTGTTTTGCATCAAATGGAATGAGAAAAGATTTCATTGTTAAATTTATGAAGTAAATTATCTATATTTCTTTCAATTATAAGAGCATCTTGCATTTTTGAAATAAAACTATAGTAATCATTCTGTGAGTTTGTCATCCATGTACATATTTGTAGTGGCAGGATGAGCACAGGGCAGGGTCTGTATGATTCATGCAGACACAGGAGGGTAAAGGAGGAGTCCTGGAGTCCTCAGTGGTTTTCTCAGGTTTTTATTGAGCTTTTTACATGAAGTGTAGCAACCAGGTACACGGCAGGCAGGGGTGCTCGGGGGCCAGGAGGCCATCAGCCTCCTAGGCCCCCAGCAAGTCTACTCTGGGCTTTCTCTGGCCTTCTTTCTCCCCTTCTCTCTCCTGCCTCTCTACCTTGTTTCTCTCCTGCTTCTGCTTCTCTTGGAGAATATCTCAATACTGCTGCTATGGCCCATAGAAGTAAACAACACAACTTATAACAATGTCACAAATGCAGGTGCCCATCAGGCATGTAATCCTAACGGTGGGAGGGCAGAAAAGCCTGAAAACCATTTACTCTACAGTATTTTATTTAGAGCAGCAAATTTTTCTTTCTTAGTCACAAAAAAGATTAGACTATGTTTTAATTCATAGTTATATATTTACAAGTCTTGTATCAAGGCTATTGTAAAAAAGATTACTTTTTTTTTTTTAAGGATTTATTTATTTATTTATACAGACACTGGGTACAATCAGAAGCGTGTTAGGGTAAGAGAATTCACCAGAGCCAGAGCGGGGAACAGAACAGGCAGACCGATGAGGGGAGCAGCGGGTGCAGCAGGAGAGGCATTAGCGCCACGTGGGACCCACGCTGGTGGCCGGACACCAGCGCTGCAGAGGCAGCGGGCAGCTCGCAGCCCAGTGCTCAACTGCTGTGCCCGCGGGGAGGCCCGATTCCTGTTTTTCTACTAGCTGGAAGCCTTTGTGTAAGAGCACTGTGGTTTTGAAGTGTTATTTCACTGCTGATATCATCAGAGGATATAAACATGTTTCAGGGAAGTTTCATGTAATACTCGGTAGCTCTAACACATGTGAAGTTTCTTCAGGTAGAACTATTTGCTATGCAACTTTTTGGTAATTATATTTTCTACAAATTTTCTATTTCACATAGACATAAAATGTATTCATAAACAGTCTTTTTGTCCAGTGTACCTACTAAAAACCATAGTGGGGGGCCTCCCTGGTGTCACAGGGGTTAGTCTCAGTGCTCTCAAGCTACCGCCAGCCACTATGCCATGAGTGCAATCCGAGGCCAGGGAGCTACCCACTTGGCACAGTAGACCTATCCTGTCTAGCCTACTCCTTCTCTCAGCAGCTTATTTCAGTAGATCTTCCTGTTTTGCTCCTCACTCTGTCTCTGGTGAATCCTCTCACCTTCTGTACCTCTAACCAACAGCCCATCTTTTTTTTTTTTTTTAAGATTTATTAATTTTTGCATACAAGACCTGGGTTACAGGCCAGAGGCTTTGGGGGTGAGAGGATTCACCAGAGACAGAGTGGGGCAGAGAACAGGCAGACTGACAGAGTACATGGCTGAGGGGAGTAATGGGCAAGACAGGAGAGGTCTGCTGCACCATGTGGGTTCCTCCCTGGCGGGCCGGGGGATTGAACTCATGCTGCAGAAGGTGCAGACAGCCTTATAGGTTTTGTCTTAACCCCATGCAGCAGTAGGAGGGCCCGACAGCCCTTTATTTGTATGTTTAAATAAATAAAATAAACCTTTTAAGATAAAAACCGTAACGGTTTTCTCATGTGTAATCTAGGTACTAAAGTCTTAGTTTCTCAATTGTTTTCTTCAATAGTGTAATTGCAGTTATTAAGTTTTTACAATGAGAACCTATTTGCTTTGTTCATGCTTTTTAACAATTTTGTTATTTGTGCTATTTATTTTTTTCTTCTATTGTTTTAGACAAATTTTACTTATTTTTGGCTTTGTCATTTTCAGTTTCTTTGATGCATGCTCAGATTTCTGCCCTTTCATTTTTGAGCAATATATGCATTTAAGCTGTTTAAATTCAAAATTTGGTATATTACTTTCATATTTCCCGTCTATTAGTATGATGTGAACATACATTTTGATGATCTCTGACTCAGAAAATAAATAGATATATCACTGTATTCAAAATCATGTTGTAGGGATTTCATTTTTATGTTTACTAACTTGTATTTTAGGTGAACTTATTTAGAGAATTTTCTTTGAAACTAGAATGTTTTACATTTCTTTTAATAATGCCTAGTGTGACTTTGTGCTCTAAAAGCCTACTTTTCCTGTCCTCCAATTTTTTGGCTAAGTGATATTTTGAAAAAATCAACTCTTTTTTTTTAAAGATTTATTTATTTATTTATACAAGCATGGGGTACAGTCAGAAGCGCGGGAGGGTGAGAGAATTCACCAGAGCCAGAGCAGGGAGCAGAGCAGGCAGAAGGACCGAAGTACACTGCTGAGGGGAGCAACGGGCGCCAGGAGAGGTCTGCGCGCCATGTGGGACCCTCCTCCAGTGGCCGGGGAGCAACCGGGGATCGAACCGGCGATGCAGAGGCTGCAGGCAGCTTCACAACCCAGCGCTCAACCGCTGCACCACCAGGGAGGCCCCTCAACTCTTTTTCCCCTCAACAGTTAGTGTGGGCTATTGTCACATTTACAACAAATATTTCTATGTAAGTGCAGACATTTTGTAAATAATCACTCTTGTTGTTTATGTTATGATTAGAGGATGAATAACTGAAAAGCGTAATGAAAAATTATTTAATATTTCAGTCATGGAATGGTGATCTAATTCAATCGTATTGAAAGCTTTATCATGCCTAGAGGCACTTTTTATCAGTGGAAGTTTAAACAACTGTTTACCAATTAAAAAACTGACTGCAGAGAAATAGAAAAGAAAAACTTAGAAACTGGTGATCAAGGGACTATTTTTGGAATAAAGTTGAAAATGTAATTCTTCAGAAAATTAGTGACATCTTATTTAATACATATTACTTAGGGGTTAATGGTTTTAGAATGTTTCCATCAAAATAGAATTGACATATGAGAGTATAAAAAAACATTATGTAATGCCAAGACTCAGCAATCTTGTCTAGCAGTGAAAACATCTACCAGACACTTAAGTAAGGTTTTCTGTGTGTTTGTGGTTGAGATGGAAGCAATTTAACAGCCAAGTATGGTTAAGTCCTTTGTCCCCTGATACCTTTTAGAATAGGAACACAATTTCTTAGAGGCGTTTGTCAATGGACAAACTAAATGACACACTACAAGTTCAGTCTCCTTTGCTCTGGAGGTGTGTGAGAAACTGCCTTTACAATAGGTAGGATTTCCTATTCAAGTTTTCAGTGACACTTTGATAAGAAATCTACTTTTTTTCCAGTGTTGTTTCACTCTGCACCTTCACAGGAGAGTCTGTAAACCGTTAACATTTGACTTCATTTTTTTTTCAGTGTTTCCATTTCTCTCCCCGCAGACTCGCCATTACCTCCAGGGCAGATTGCTGCTGAGGTCCTGGGGATCCTCTGACTGGTCTTGGTGTCCACTGTAGTAAAAACCATAGTTCTTATTCCTGATAAGAAAATTGTGAAAGATGGCAAGTGACAAAGTTTGCGCTTGGTGGTTACCAGTGCCATAAAAAGTTCAGACATTAAGGGGAACATTCATTTTTAATGTATGGTTTTAATTAAGTGTTGAATTGTTCTGAATTTTTCAAAGTATAAGAATGCAGAATGATTATAGGGAGTATTTTATAGTTCATATATCATGATTCAATAACATGCTTTAGAAGACTGAGAGACCCAATTGAGAACTATGAATTTATTTTTGAAAATTGGTAACCACATACTGCAGGAAATGGTGAAATTTGACTATAACTTTTTTTTTTTTTAAATATTAAATTTTATTTTTATATTCCCCCATACAATTGCAAACGCCCCATTCTGACCCCAATCCTTCCCCTCCCGCCCCCCACCCCCCAAAAGTGTCTCTGGTTCATAGTTTTTTGTTGATTTTGATTTTCACTTTCTTATATTCATTTTCCTGGTCCCTTATTTAAGTTTTCTAGATTCCTGCTATGAGTGAGACCATCCGGTATTTTTCTTTTTCTTTTTGGCTTATTTCGCTGAGCATGATCCCTTCCAGTGCCATCCATGTTGCTGCAAATTGCATGTGTTTATCTTTTTTGAATGCTGAGTAATATTCCATGGTATATATGTACCACATCTTCTTGATCCAGTCATCTATTTTTGGGCATTTGGGTTGTTTCCAAAGCTTAGCTATTGTAAACAGTGCTGCTATAAACATAGGAGTGCAGGTGCTCTTTGGAATTGATGTTTCTGTGTCCTTTGGGTAAATACCTAGGAGTGGAATTGCTGGATCATATGGAAGCTCTATGTTTAGTAGGTCCAGAAATCTCCACACAGCTCTCCATAGTGGTTGGACCAGTTTGCACTCCCACCAACAGTGCACAAGAGTTCCTTTTTCTCCACATCCTTGCCAACATTTGTTGTTGCTAGTTTTTTTAATATGTGCCATTCTCACTGGTGTGAGATGGTATCTCATGGTAGTTTTGATTTGCATTTCCCTGATTACAAGTGATGTTGAACATTTTTTCATATTTGACTATAACTTTTTGTGATATTTTCCCCCAAGTTTTATTCTGTTGTTAATTTTTTCAGAAACTCAGCTTTATTATAGATTATTACTATAATCCTACCAACATACAAAATTTCTAGCTTAGAAATATTATACTGATTAGTGTTTACATCGAACAATATTAAATTTTATAAGGATTATTTTATTTTTTCTAGCTCCTCCTGAGGTCCAGAGAAGAATGATTTCTCCACAGTAACAAACACCTTGAAAGATACACAATGATTTCCAAAATTCTGATTTTAGTACATTTTATATTATGTATATATGTTAGACTAGGTAATAATGTTAACAAATCAAATCTACTGTTAGGACATACCTTATAAAATCAAATAATAAATATTCATGAGAAACAATAATAGGAGGGGTTCATCATATCCAACAACAGGAAGAAAATTCACTTAGAACTTCTACACCCATGTGGCCAATTGGCTCATGTCCTGCTGCTATTACATGTATAAGCAATTTTACTATTAAAAAATGACTTTATTTACTATTTGTCTGGACATATACAGTGCATATTATTTGTGAGTTTGGTTCATATGGGCACCTAAATTACAACATGAGAAAGTGTACTTTCTCTGTGAGTGTGTGTTGTATGCACCAACTGTGAGGTGTGAGGCACATGTTAGGTACGTGATTGCTCATATCTTGGCATGTATATGATATCTTGTTTTATTAACACAAATAGTTTTAGGTAATAATTCATAATCTCTTTTCAACATGTCACTGTGGCCCTTGTCCAAAGGAGTGGATTAACTATGCCAACAACTGCTATTACAGAAGCAATGAGAAATGTAGAATATCCAAATAAGGGATCAGGAGAAAAAAGTTATTATAATAAAGTGAAAATCAAAATCAGCAAGCAACTGTAAATCAGAGACATTCTGCTGGGGCAGAGAAGGGAGTAAGATCAAAATGGGTGGGAAGAGCACAAGGGATATGGTGAGGTTCACCGTTGAATTGGTGGTGGGAATTTCAGGGGGACAAGAGGAACTCAGTGAACTATAGTTGAGGAGTTGGGTACTCTTGGTGGGCATGGTGTGATGTCGTGTAAAGGGAGGTTCCATCAGCTCACATGTTCCTCAACTCATCTATGTAATGATAAGGAATGATGTTAGGAGGATGTACAAAATGGGTGGATTTAGAAAAGAAAGAGTCACAGAGAAATCAGTGATAAAAGGTCAAAAATGTAGCTTTCTTTGTGTTTAACTTTCCACTCCTGTTCCTAAGGTGTGGGACATAACGGGTTCTTATTCTGGACTTGAGAATTAACAGTATTTATTTCAGTACTTCTTTCTAAAATTTGTATATCAGTCAATATGTTTTCAAAATCACTGTAGAAGAATGTGTGTGACTCTAAGGCAGTCAGCTCCAAAGAGAACACAGGATGGACGCATTTGTGCATGTCCAATCTTCTGTTCTAAAGTACTAACCTGAAAGTTGTATTTATTATTTATTAATGAGTGTAAACTTGTGGATGAAATAAGACATTCACATTTTATTAGACCTCTCCTCTCCCTTACAGACCGCCATTGTTGTGTGTGTGTATGTATGTATGGTGTGTGTGACTTCTAACACTACATGGAAAAAATTAGCTTTTGCTCCCCATACTATGAATTGGCTATCACACACTAATAATGACCTCAATATCTGAGGTTTGTATTTTCCTTTTCTTCTTCACCTTTTGTTCTAACTATATGTGTCGGGCCTCCCCGGTGGCGCAGAGTTTGAGGGCTCTGTTGCGAATCTGCCCGCAGCCTCTGCAACACCAGTTCAATCCCCGGCCACTGGCGAGGGTCCCACATGTTGCGCAGAACTCTCCTGCCGCCCGCTGCTCCCCTCAGCAATGTACTTTGGTTCTACTGCCTGCTCTGCTCCCCACTCTGGCTCTGGTGAATTCTCTCATCCTCATGCACTTCTGACTGTATCCAGTGTTGTATAAATAAATTTAAATAATAATAGTAATTATTTAAAAAAAATAAACTATATGTGTCAATATTATCCAAGATTTTCTGTAACAGTTTTCCCATAAACAGTTCTCATGAACTTACTACAATAAAAAATGCATAAATACATACAAATGATAAAATGCTAGCAATAAAAAAGCACTTGATGTTTGAATAAGCATGTGGAGGACATGGGGTTCCAAGGTAAAGAGTTAAAGATCTCTTTCTAATAAAATAAAAAAAAAAAACATTTTTACAATTTTTTTAAGATATGATTTTTTTTATACAAGAACTGGGGTCCAGGGTCTCCTTGGTGGCGCAGGCGGTTGAGCGCTGCACTGTGAAGCTGTCCACAGCCTCTGCAGCACGGTTCATTCCGGCCAGCCAGTGAGAATCCCACATGGCACAGCAGACCTCTCCTGCCTCGCCTGCTGCTGCCCTCAGCAGTGTGCTTTGTCATTCTGCCAGTTCTGTTCCCCGCTCTGTCTCTTGTGAATCCTCTCACCCTCCCCACGCATCAGGTCTGTACCCCAGCTCTTGTATAAATAAAATAAAATCTTTAAAAAAAAAGAATTGGGGTCCAGTCAGAGGCACAGGAAGGTGAGAGAATTCACCAGAGACAGAGCGGGGAGCAGAACAGGCACACGGACCGAAGACACTGCTGAGGGGAGCAGCGGGCGAGACAGGGGAGGTCTGCCCTGCCATGTGGGTATCTCCCTGGCCGGCCGGGTATTGAACCCATGCTGCAGAGGTTGCGGACAGCTTTAGAGCGCTGTGCTCAACCCACTATGCCACTGGGGAGGCTCCATTTTTATATTCTTATCATTAATTTTATTTCTTAACTCAGTCATTTGTTTTTATGCATCTCCTTTTAGCTTTTCTGAGGGATTTTTTATATCACTTTGACAGCCTTAAGTTTTCTTCTTTCAGTTTCTTTCTCCCTCCCTCATTTCCCCTTCCTTCCTTCCTTCCTTCCTTCCTTCCTTCCTTCCTTCCTTCCTTCCTTCCTTCCTTCCTTCCTTCCTTCCTTCCTTCCTTCCAGAAGAACTGGGGTACAGGCCACAGGTGTGGATGGTCAGGGTGAGAAGATTCACCAAAGACGGAGTGGGGAACAGTGGATTGACTGACATACACAAGAGGAGCAGCAGGTGAGACAGGAGATGTCTGCTGCGCCATGTGGGTTAGTTCCCTGGCAGGGATTGAACTCAGGCTGTAGTGGTGATAGTGCTGAAACTTAACCACCCAGGAGGTCGCTCTTTGAATTTCTTTATTATAGCATATTTCATTCTGTATCTGATTGGCAGGTATAGTCTTCCATGTCTTTGTAGTTTTATTCTGGAGAGTTGTTCTTTTTTTTTTTTTTTTTAAGATGGATTTATTTATGCATACAAGAGCTGGGGTACAGACCAGAGGTAAGAGGGGTGAGAGGATTCACCAGAGACAGAGTGGAGAGCAAAACAGGCAAATCTACTGAAATACCCTACTGCGGGGAGCGGCAGGAAGACAGGAGAGGTCTGCTGCACCATCTGGGTCAGCTCCCTGGCTGGGGATGGAACTCAGGCCACATCTGTGATAGTGCAGAGATTTATCCTGAAAAGAGTATTGTTTGCTTGTTACTGAGTTCCAGTTCATCCATATTTCTTAGGTTGATGGATATTCTCACAACTACAAATAGTCACAAATTATATATGCATACATATGTTTGCATGTATATATATATATATATACATATACATACCCTTGTATGACTGTTTCTATATATATCATAAAGAATAAATTATAGCTACTCTTATTATTTTGAATAAATTCTGAGAATTTATATTGCTTGACTGTAGATTTCATCCTCACCAGCACTTGTTGTTTCTGGTCATTTTGAGCTCTCACAGGTATGAGGTGGTATCTCCTTGTGGTCTTGATTTGCATTTCTGTGATAATGATCGTTTTGTCATATGCTTTCAACCTGTGTTTTAAAAGTCTGTTTTTTCTGCTCTCCCCAATTTTTGGTACAGTGAGATTTTTGAAAGTTACCTTTGTAATTCCCTTACATAAGAAAGTACACTTAGGTTTTTATCATTTACAAAAAATATTCCTACTAAAACACAATTATTTTTATTTTTTTTAAAGATTTATTTATTTATTTATACAAGCACTGGGTACAGTCAGAAGTGCGGGAGGGTGAGAGAATTCACCAGAGCCAGAGCGGGGAGCAGAACAGGCAAAAGGACCGAAGTACACTGCTGAGGGGAGCAGCAGGCGGCAGGAGAGGTCTGCGTGCCATGTGGGACCCTCCTCGGTGGCTGGGGATTGAACTGGTGTTGCAGAGGCTGCAGGCAGCTTCACAACCCAGCACTCATCCACTGTGCCACCGGGAGGCCCTAAAACACAATTATAATTGGAGGAGGAATGAATGAATGATGGTAAAATTTCAGTCACTGGAATGACAATATGGTTTAATATTTTATCAGTGGTAATCTAAATAGCTTATTTATAAGAATAAAATTGAATGCAGGAATTTTAAGAATTAGGGAAGAGATGTTGATTAGTTAACATACTGGTACTGATGTTTGCTATATTATAGAAAATTGGAAATGTAGTGATTTTTTTCGAATAATAAGTGACAAACATCATTAAATACCTATCCGTAATGGACTAATAATATGAATTTTTTTCCATTATAATATAAATGATATAATAAGGACATAGGGGAAAAGTATATAATGTCAAGATTTATGAATCTTCCTTTATAGTAGAATTTAAACATCTAAGGCAATTTTAATAAGTCTTATATATATCATAAAGAGTAAATTATAGCTACTTTTATTATTTTGAATAATTTCTAAGTTTTCAGCATTTATGGTTGCTATGAAAACAAATTACAAGCATGGGTGTTGAAGAGTTTTGTTCCCTGATACATTTCAGAGGCATATGAAAATGACAACTATAAACCCATCCTCTCCTATAGTCTGCAGGTGTGTGATGAGGTGAACTGTCTTCAAAATAGCCCAATTGTAACAATTTCCTGTTCAAACTGCTAATGACACATTAATGAGAAATCTACTTTTTCCACTCTGGCTTCACTCTGAAACTGCACAGGGCAGTTCTCAAGATCACAGATCAGAGATCAGAACAACAAGTGCTGGTGAGGATGTGGAGCGGAGAGAACCCTCCTACACTGCTGGTAGGATGCTCTGTGGGCCGGTCCCTGTGAAAATCAGTAGGGAGGTGTCTCCTCCTTCACTCAAGGATGCACAGCTTCCTCGCCAGCAGAAGGTATGTGTTGCTCCTCTCCTTTCTCTCTGCTGATCTGTCTCTTTAGTGGAAGTTTATGAAAGTTAGATGTGAGGCAATTGCTATACAATTCATATGCAATCAAATCAAAGAGGACCTTGGTTTCTTTATTGAATAATTCAGGTAAAACAGAGGAAGGAAATGAAATATTTTGAGGATTTCTCAAAATATTTGAATTATTTCCAGACAGAATTAGTCAAGTGTTTAACACTAGTGCATGATTAGATTTGTAAATCAATTCAATTTAACTTGAAATTTCACCAGATCATGACAAATAAGATTTGATTTTGGAATTAATAATCAATACAGATATAATTCTATATATTTTTTGTATTTAGCTCAATCTTTAAAATTAGACTCTTAAAAATTAACAAAGCATTATACAAGGAATACCACACTAATAAAAAAAAAACTAATGAAAGTTACAAATCACGTTACTAATGTTAGTTAATATAAATATGTAATAGGAAAAACAGTGATTGTGTCAAAATAAAAATGAAAATAAGGAATGTATTATTGACATCTTACAAAAGTCATATTGAGTATCAGGTTTACATATATTTTAGATATTCCCATTTCCATTTTAGGTTAGTAAACTAAAATTAAGTTGAAAGACTCAATATAACTTTTTCCTATTTTTCCTTTTTTAATAAGTCAAAATTAATGTGAAACTTAGTAAGTATCAAAGTCAGAATTAATTCTAGATTCCACTCATTACAGGCACGATTAACCAGATTACTAAAATTATGAATTTTTATTGATTCCATTACTTGTACAACAAAGGAAACATTCATTAACTTGGATAATTAATAGGATCTTTCTAGAAGTTATAACCAATAATGTTGTTCCAATAATTAATGAACCAATAATGTATGTATCATTGTATGTTTTTATCTAGCTATTAAATCAATTACCATCTCTTGTATTACTTAAAATAATTTTTAAGTCATTAAGTAATAATATTTGTATTATATTTTGTATTTTTAAAATATTATTTTTGGTTGTTTTTTAAATATTGTTTAGGTTTTAGACAAGGTTAGCCTGCCATTAACATTAGCCAATATACAAAATTTCTTTAAAATTTTAAAAATTTCTCAGATTATCACAATAGTGAAACTTATTTTGAAAGAAAACAAATTGAGATAATTGAAAATACCCCCATCCCCTTTTATAAATAAAAGTAAAGGATGAAATAAAAATAATTAGTTTGGGAAATGCTAACACTATTTCTCCAAATTAGAACATTCAATATTTAACCATTATTTTTAAAACCTGACATAAAAATGGCTGCATCATTTTTTCTAAGCCACCATTTTCATTTCAATGCAGTTACACAAGTGATTAAGATGCTCTGTGGAATATGACTTTAAAATTAATAAAGATAATATTGGTCATGAACTTCTCATTTTTGATTAAATATTTTGCTTTTCATTTTTCCAACCAATACTATTGTGTAACCATGGAATATCCTTTTTAAAACTACTTATTCTGTCATGAAACATATGTTTAAAGTTCCTAGGAGTTCATAATTTTTAAATTTTCTCATTGAGGTAATATGTGTTTACTTCATTGTCTGTATGCTGGAGTGATGGGATCTGCCTCTGGTTTTACTACCTTAGTGCTCTAGGACTTTAGAGCAGACATGTGTGTTGTTCAACTGCAATATGAGTCTGTCACTCAGCTCACGCTCCGCCCTCTGACCTGATCCTATGCACCATTTATTAAAGACTGAGAAGCATTTATCACAGAGCGCAGTTCCTGACTTTACAGAACAGCAGAGATGAAGGAGCAAAGAGTCACCTATGCAGAGCTGAAGCTGACAAAGGACTCAAAATGGCCACAAGTGAAACCTAAAGGGAGTAAAAGCTCCACGACTGTAACGGAGCCGGGAGTAACCTACGCAGAATTAAGTCTTCACAATGCTTCCCGGGATCCTCAGGAGAATGGCAAGTCCTGTCACCTCAAAGGTAAAACATTTGGTAGACACACTGCACAAGTATTCTCGGATATGAAGGGTTTGGAGGTGCACAAAGAATAGGGAATTAACTGACATGTTTTTCATTTGTGTTTGGCATTGGAATATGGTATTCTAGGAGGAAATCTGATGGCTATTTTTTCCCAGGTATTTTTATAATTTATAATTGTTGACAAACAACAATTAATGGATGTTTTGTTTACTAAAAAAGCAATGGTATACTCTGGGGGGAAGATTCCAGTGGGAGAAAGAGATCTCAGTGTTTCGTTTCTCTCCCTGCAGGCTTAGCTTCACCTCCAGAGAGGCTCATTGCTCGGATCTTGGGACTCACCTGCATTGTCTTGATATGCATTATTGTGCCAGTGTGGGTTATTTCCCGTAATTAAATTTATGAAAGTTTACATTGGAACTTATCACTTAATGATTGTCAGTGCTTTTAAATATTTCATAGTATTAAGGAATAGAAATATTATGTTAATGTATCCTTTTAATTAATTGTTGAATGGTTATCCTCACCTTCTCAAAAGTACAAATATATAGAATGTTTGTAGAGAGATTATTTTGTTAGATTCAGATATCATGATTCAAAGTCATGCTTTAGGATACTGAAATACTCTATTGAAAACTATGAAATGATTTTTGAAATTTGGTGACTACAGAGTGTAGGAGATGGTGAAATTTGACTAACTTTTTGTGATATTTTCCCCCAAAGCTTTATTTTTTAATTAATTTTCTGGGAAAAACAACTTTATTATAGATTATTAATATAACTAAATACTACATTTCTAACTTTGAAATATTATACTAATTAGTATTTACTTAGAACACTATTAATTTTTATAAAGATTATTTTATTTTTCTAGTTCCTACAAAAAGCCAGAGCAGGATAATTTCTCCTCAGAGCACAATGATTACCCAAACGTCACAAAGAGCGAGAAAGGTACACAATGATTTCCAAAATTCTGATCTTAGTACAGTTTGTATTATGTATATATGTTAAACTAGGTAATAATGGTAAGACATTTTCTGTTAGAACATGCATTATAAAATCAAATAATATGTGTTCATGAATAACGGTAATAGGAATGGTTCATTATATCCAACAACAGGAAGAAAATTCACTTAGAACTTTCACACCCTTGTGGCCAATATTGGCTCATGTCCTGCTGCTATTACATGTATAAACAATGTTACTCTTAAAAAATGATTTTATTTACTATTTGTCAGGATATATACAGTGCATATTATTTGTGAATTTGGTTCATATGGGCACCTCAATTATAGCATGAGAAGTTGCCCTTTCTCTGTGAGTGTGTGTTTTATGCTCCAGCTATGAGGTGTGTGCATGTGTTAGGTACATGATTATTCATATCTCGATGTGTATGTGATATGTCTAATTTTATTAACACAAAGAGTTTTAGGTAATAATTCATAATCTCTCTTCAGCCTGTCGTTGTGGCCCTTGTCCAAAGGGGTGGTTTACATACTCCAACAACTGCTATTACTTTAGTGATGAAAAAAACACCTGGAATGAGAGTGTGACGGCCTGTCAGAAAAAGAAGTCTCAGCTGCTTTACATAGACACTGAGGAAGAAATGGTAAGAATTTTGGTGTCCCAACCACTTTTTTAAAGACCTATTTTGGTCAATTTTATATTTATAGAATTCATACATACTTTTGTACAAATTTGTAGCTTATTTGAAAGTTTGTATAACATTCCATTGTCTGATTTTGAGGATTTTACTGAGATGTCTGCCACTTTAATGCACATTTAAAAAACCGAGTTCTTGGGTTTCTGAGAGAACCATATTTCCAATATATATTATATGTATAATATATATGTGTGTGTATATAAACTGAATGAAGATCGCTGTTTCATACACATTAAGAAAGCCAAGAATATTGTGATTGGGCAAATGAATCACCAAGTGAATGAAATTGTATCTGCAGAGCAGATCCTGAATAGAGTCCCAGCCCCCAGTGCACCCAGACACACGGTCTGCTTTCTCTTCATGCCTGCTGTCTGGTTATTTAGCTACTGACTTGACTTTTAAATTCATAGATCTCTCTTCTTTTTTATGAACTGAAATGAAATCATGCGGTAGGTAGATACTTTTGTTCCTGTCTCATCACTCCCTACAATTCCTTGCTAATTCATCTACATTATTGCATTTATCTGCTCTTTGATAAATTTCACTGGAGAATTTTATTGTATAACATTTTAAAATCTATTCTCTTTAATGTCTCAGGTGTGGGATGCTGCTCAGAGATATAGAAACTTCCAGAGTTCAGTATTTTCAGTGATAGGATCCCCTTAATTGTCCCAGATCCACGCTCCCATCTCTGCTCATGTGTCCCTTGGTGATGGGAGGTGAAGCATGTCCTGGCTGCTGACTGTTGTCACTGTCCTGAGGCATCACCCTTGTAAGGCTGCCTGCTGTTGCTGCACAGGACCCCTCACCTCAGGGGGGGAATGGCTGCCCCGAGCCTGCTCCTCTTATAGGTTCATGCTGACGGTACGCAGGCCTAAGTCAGATATTCCTTGTTCACATGACAAGAAGAGTGATGTCATTAAGTATAAATGTTTAGGAGCTCATGTTATCCAATGATGATGTACTCATGAGAGTTGTGGCATCATGCACGATAGTTTTTAGCACACTGTGTGTATGTGTGTAAGATGGAGTCCGTCTCTTCCTTCTGAAAAAGTAGGATCTTGTGAAAGAACACTTTTTTTTTTAAATGAAGCCCTTGATCATTCCTATGTAAGTGAAAATTTCCTATGTTTCTATAGAAATTTATGCAATCCATATCAGTTTTGTCTTGGATTGGAGTCTACCGTAATGGCAGCAATCAAACATGGACGTTCATAAATGCATCAACTTTCCAACTAGAGTAAGTTTGCTTTAAATAATGTTATTGTTATAGTAGCATTAAAAATGCTATTGTTTCTTGGTTTTCCCAGCGTTACAGAACTTAGAAAAGGAAGGTATGAAAAGGAATGTAAGAAGAAAGATATTAGTGCATTTGATTTAAATTATAGACATGAAGAATCATACTGAATGCTAGTGGAATCCTGAAGAATATTGAAGAAAGGACAATTCATTTGGTCTAACTTCCAACTCTTAGAAATATTCTATGAAAATTATCTTCATCCATTTCAAATTACACTTGTTTTGCAATTTAAAGCAATGCTTTTGTCTCTTAGTTTGCCCCAACATTATATAACTATATATATATATTATATATATATATATACATATTTATAACAATGCCTCTTATTTATTACAGGATAAGAAAACCAGTACCTGTTAACCATCACTGTGTTATGCTACAATCTAAATATTATGCAGAAAAAATGTGAAGGTAAAAATATGTATTATTGCAAGCATAGATTTAAATTAAAAAAAAACAACTGGATTTATATGTGTAAATTTCCATTTCAAGAAACAAGTCTTATTATTTTTTTTTTGTTCTAATGACTTTTTTTCAAAATAATTATTGAAATACACTATGTTCAGCAAAATGTACAGATAACATTATTTTTGTGCCTGACATTTTTTTGGTGTTCAACCTTCAAAAAGATCATTTGTTGGCCCCTCTGGTGGTACAGTGGTCAAGCCCATGCTGCAAAATTGTCTGCACCATCTGCAGCGCAGGTTCAACACCCCGCCAGACAGGGAGAAACTCACATGGCGGGGCAGACCTCTCCTGCCTCCCCGCTGCTCCCTTAGCAGTGTCTTTGGTCCGTCTTCCTGTTCTGCTTCCCACTCTGTTTCTGGTGAATTCTCTCACCTTCCTGCCCTTCTGACCTGTACCCCAGTTCTTGCATAAAATAATAAATCTTTAAAAAAAGATCTTTAAAAAAAAGATCATTTGTTGTGTGAGTCCAGTTATAAATAATGGCAAAATCATAGGTACAGCAAGTGGATTGGGTGGGATGAGGAACTGGCCACTGATTAGTTCCTTGTTTTCTCTGTTTTTTTTTTTTTTTTTTTTTTTTAGATTATTTGTGCACACAAAAAAACTGGGTATAGGCCAGAGGTGTGGGGGGTGATAGGATTCACCAGTGACAGAGTAGTGAACAGAACAGGCAGACTGACTGAAACACACTGCTGAGAGGAGCAGTGGACTAGTCAGGAGAGGTTTGCTGTGCCATGTGTGTTATCTCCCTGGCCAGGGATCCAACTTGTGCTGCAGTGGCTGTGGATAGTTTCATAGGTTGTGTCTCAAGCCCCTGTACCACCCGGGAGGCCCCAGTTCCTTGTTCTTTTTGAATTGATGGAACATTTTTCAGTGCTAAGAGTAGTGATGTTTTCAAACTCTGAAAAAGCTAAATGTCTTTGATCTATTCATTTTAAATGGCTGAATTTTATGCTTTATATATCCCAATAAAGTTGTTTTTTAAAAAATTTGTGATGACATTTGAGAACATTTAATGTTTAAAGCAATTGGAGTCTAGTCATCTTTACCATATTTATTTTTGAATATACATTAACCTTAATCCTTCCTTAAATTCCTTTTATTTTTCTCATTATGCTTTGTATTTTTACAGAGGACATAGGGAAATGATGTCATACTTTAGTAATGACCCTTTATTTAAAAATGTCTGAAATATCTGTTAGGAATTTTTGGTGCTGTAAAAAGCAATATACCTGAAGTTGGCTTATTGATTTAGATGCAATGTGTTTTGCCAACTTTACATCTTAATTCTGTCAATCTAATATATGAATCTAATATTTGAAATATGAATTTTGATGTAAATAGTCATTTATTGTAAATAATTCTTCTTTCCAAGTACAATTACTTTTTTTCTTTTTGAGATTTATTTATTTATGCATTCAAGAACTAGGATACAGGCCAGAAGTGCAGGGGTGAGAGGAATCACCAGAGACAGAGCAGGAAACAGAACAGGCAGACAGACTGAAAACCACTGCTGGGTGGATGAGTGGGCAAGACAGGAGAGGTCTGCTGGGCCTTGTGTGTAGCTCCCTGGCTGTCTGGGGATTAAACTGGTGCTACAGTGGCTGGGGATAGCTTCACAGTGTTGTGCTTAACCTTATGCCACCAGGGAGGCCCACAATTACTTTTTTTGAATTGGATTACTGCAGATCAGTTTTATATCCAATATTGAATAGTAGTTACTGTGATTAATCTCTATGTATTCCCATTTTGGGGAAAATATTTCAATATTCATTCTTAAATATGAAGTTCATTGTAACTTTTCCATCATCACTCTCAAATTCATGTCATGCCATCACATTCTCATTTTTGTAATAGTTTTATACGTTTGATGTTATGTTTATTCATTTGCATGAATTGGAATGAGAAATGTTTTTTTGTAAAAATGTTTATAAGTAAATTATCTTTATTTCTTTCAAATATAAGATCATCTTGCATTTTTGTAATAAACTATAGCAATCATTTGGTGTGTTTTTTATCCATGTATACATTTTATTTAGATTAGCACATTTTTCTTTCTTATTTCACCAAAAGATTAGACTATATTTTATTCACATCTACCCATTTGACAGGTCTTATATCAAGGCTGCTGTAAAAAAGGATTTCTGTTTTTCTACTAGTTGGAAGCCTTCGTGTCGAAAAACTTTAGTGTTCACCTGTCATTTCATTGCTGATATCATCTGAGCATGTAAACCTGCTTTAGGGGTGTTTTATGTAAAAACTCAGTAGCTCTAACACCTGTGAAGTTTCTTCAGTTAGAACTATTTGTTGTACAATTTTTGGGTGATTACATTTTGTACATTTTTTCTATTTCATATAGATATTAAAATGTATTCATAATACTGGCTTTTTATCTGGTATACCTACTAAAAACTGTAAAGTGGGTCCTTCGTTATGTCTCAGGGGTTAGTCTCAGTGCTGTCAAGCAATCCTCAAGAAACTACACCCTGCGTTCTATCCCAGGCCAGGGAGCAAACTCACTTGGCAAAGAAGACCTCGCCTGCAACTCCACCTCAGCAGTGGATTTCAGTAGATCTGCCTTTTCTGCTCCCCACTCTGTCTCTGGTGAATCCTCTCACCTCCTGTACTTCTAGCCAACAGCCCTTTATTTGTATGCATAAAATAAATGAAATAAATCTTTTAAGAAACAAAAGCCACAATGGTTTTCTCATGCATAATCTAGATACAAGAGACATAGTTTCTGAATATTTTTCTTCAGTAGTATAAAGCTGGTATTAAGTTTTTACATGAGAATACATTTGCTTTGTTCATGCTCTTTAACAATTTTTTCTTTGTCATTTGTGCTATATATTTTTTCTTCTGTTTTTTTAGACAATATTTCCTTCTTTTGGCTTTGCCATTTTCAATTTCTTTGATGTATGCTCAGATTTCTGCCCTTTCAATTTTGAACAATATGTGCATGTAAGGCAATTTGAATTCAAAAGATAGAATATTACTTTCATATTTTCCTTCAAATTCATATGATGTTGTGAACATGCATTTCTATCATCTCTTTGACTCATAGAATAGACATATCACGATATTCAAAATCATGTAGGAATTTCATTTTTATGGTTACTCACTATTTTATTTGAATTCTGTTAGAGAATTTTCTTTTAAACTAGAATGTTTTACATTTCTTTTAATAATGAGTAGTGTGACTTTGTGCTTTAAAAACCTACTTTTTCTGTCCTTCAATTTTTTGGTTAAGTGACATTTTAAAAAATCAACTCTTTTTCCCCTCAACAGTTAGGGTTGGACTATTGCCATATTTACAATAAATATTCCTATGAAAACACAGAGTTTTTGTAAGTAATCACTTGTTGATTATATTATCATTAGAGGATGAATCAATGAAAAGCATAATGAGAAATTATTTAATATTTCAATCATGGAATGGTGATAAAATTCAATCCTTTTGAAAGCTTTATCATGCCAAGAGACAATTTTTATCAATGGAAATCTAAACAATTGTATGAATTAAAAATTGAATGCAGTGAAATAGAGAAGAAATCTTGGAAATGGTGATCAAGGGACTATTGTAATAAAGTTGAAATGTAATTCTTCAGGAATTAGTAACATCTTAATAATATTACTAGGAGATTATGGTTTTAGAATGTTTACATTAAATAGAATTGACATGTGAGAGTATGAGAAAAGGATATGTAATGTCAATATTCAGCAACCTTGTCTAACAGTGAAACATCTACTATAAACTTAACTACAGTTTTTGTGTGTGTGGTTGAGATGGAAGCAATTAGCAGCCAAGTATGGTAAAGTCTTTTGTCCCCTGATATCTTTTAGAATAGGAACACACTTTCTTAGAGGCATTTGTCAATGGACACACTAAATGACACACAACAAGTTCAGTCTTCTCTGCTCTGGAGGTGTGTGATGAGAAACTGCCTTCACAATAGCTAGGATTTCCTGCTCAAGTTTTAAGTTACACTTTGGCAAGAAATCTACTTTTTTCCAGTGTTGTTTCACTCTGCACCTTCATAGGAGAGTCTCTGTAAACCACAGATGTTGTTTCTTTCCATGAGTAACCAGGTCACCCACTAGAGGATACTCCACTCTTTGATCAAGAGAAGGTGTGTGTTTCTACTTTCCTGTTCTCTACCAGCTCATGTCATTGATCACAAATGCTGTTTATGATACAATTGCTGTGCAATCAAATTATATAGAATTTTGGTATTTTTATTGAATAATTTAGGGTGGGAAAATAAGCATAAATATGAAACATATTATACGTTATTTTAAATATTCATGTGCTTTACTGTGGAGAATTCCTCAAGTGCATATATACAAGGATAATTGGGTTTTTAAATCAATACAGACTTGTCAAAATCCCATAAACATCGTGACATGGAGTAGTTTATCTGGAGTTTGCAATCAGTACAGATATAATTCTCTATATTATTTATTGTTAAGTCCAGCCTTTAAACATAGATTCTTAAAATTATATCATTTAATCCTCAAGGTCAAAAGTAATACCTCATACATTTTCTTAATCTTAGTAAAACTAATTCAATTGTTAATACAAATGAGAATGAAGTAGTACATAAAATTCTAACTTACTTATAAAGTATCAAAATTTTTTTGTTTTTAATTGAACTACACATATCCAAAACGATACACAACACTGATAAAGAGACTTGTCTAAGGAACTATGTTATATGGTCTTACTGATAAGAATCAGAAATATTATTTCAGTTTGTCAGAACAATAATTAAAATAACTGACTTTGAGAGCTTAGAAAGGGCAGGTTGAATGTTAAGTGTTCTACATGTACAGCATATATGTGTTTATTCCAGTTTTAGATTTGTAAGCAAAATCAGTACACTCTATGTAAATTTTGTAGGTTTCAAAGCCAGGATTAATTTCAGATTCCACACTCTGGGG